CCGTAAAGGAGCGGGTCCTCGAGCAGCACTCTGCAATCAAGTGGAGGCGTGACAGGGAAGCGCGCCATGGGACTTCGGACGGAGCATCCTCCACAGGATGGCCAGCCGGCTCCTGGAGGAGAGACTCCGATGGCGCCTGAAGTACAACCAGGCACCTACGCCGGGCTACTGTAGCAGGAGTGTTGCTACGCATGTCTCCTCAGCCTTGTCTAGTCTGCGGCACCGACTCTGGCAGGTCCTTTCAAACAACGAGGAGCGAGAGCGGCAGAAGATGGACTTCTTCGAGCGTCGCCAAGAGCAGCAGCGCATGGGCCCTTGAACGGTAGCCGCAGTCCCGTAGCCCGCAGACATCTGCAGATGCTGCGACAAGGGGGACTGGGGCCTGCTCATGCGTTCATGACAACTGGTGTCATCTCGGCGGCTTGATGGAAAGGCTGAGGTCCTGCAAAGGAGCCTCACTCATTCGATGTGGTCGATGGAAGCTCTAGCTTTTTCCAAGGCCTGCAGCGGGCACGCTGCGAAGATTCGGGTGATATGCGCAAGGAGACTTCATTCCAGCTGGTCTTGAAACTTCCAGATGCATGCCGACTTTGCGACCTTGCCGAGGAGATTCGTCACTTGCGAGATGTTGGCCGAAAGTTGAACCAGGCACATAGCAATCATTGCAGCTTGCTATGTGGAGGGTTCGGAATTAGAAGGTTTGCGCCGCACGGGAGCAGTTGAGGCCCAACGAGAGCGCAAAGAAGCGTGGAGGCAAGCCAAGAAGAAGTCAAGACCTCGGCAGATGCTCCGGCACAAATGTCTGCCCTACACTGCATGCGTGTGTGCGTGGTGACATAAGAAGGGGAGTCGTAGTCCAAGCCTAGGCGCGAAAGCATGGAGAAGCATTTCGCCCACGTAGGAATGAAGATGCCGACACCCTTCTCACCAAATGCGACCACCATGTCCAGATGAGTTCGCACATTGATGCTTGGAAGTGAGATCTTAAGCAACATCCGCGTCGGCGGTAACGGTACCTTGCAAGCTGTGGTTCTGGCCATTTAGCAGATCGTCAGCTCTGGGTTCACTTAGAAATCTGGGTCTCCAAAGGACGCCCAGTCAATTCGCCTTATTGGCACTCGCCCTCCTTGCTCGATTGCACGTCAGTTCTGTACTCTACCCACGTAATTGTAATGCGTGGCCAAGAGGCGAGCAAGAGTTTAGTAAGGAGCTCGCTTGTGTTGCTGACGTGCATTGCAGGGATCACGGCACCATTCATGGTGCCAACAGCATGTTCCTCGCACAGCGAAGACATTGCAGCTTGGGAGCTCTGACACAGAAAGAAGTGTGTCTCTAATTCCAATCATTCGTCCACGAACAGATGCCAGGCATGCCATATGTAGTCGGGTTAGACAGCATTGTTAGTCAGACAAGCAGGCCTAACACCAACTAGATGAACTGCCCCCGCAGTCCGCAGGAGGATGCAGCAAAGACAAACTCGTGAAATCACCTGCAGAGAAGTGCAACTCACAAGTATTTGGCACGGCATGAAAGGCGTACAGCCACCTGAAATGTGCTTGGAAAGTACGGTACAGGAATCTCTAGCACGTACATGCAGATGCTTCCAAGTCCAGAGCCAGGCCGAACAGAAGCTGCTTGCAAGAGCCGTTTGGTCGGCTCGGGAGCCAAGTTTTAGGCTCGGGCGGGGCTTGGGGCGCCATGGCGCACAAGTCCAACCCCTACAAGAAGGCCGGCAAGCGGGAAGTGCACGTCTGGTGACATCATCTTGCTGTCCCTCTTTCATTCCGAGCAGTGCCAGCTGGCGCTAGGCACGCTCGAAGTTCCGCTGGAAGTGGAAGAAGAAGCGCACGCGCCGCTTGCAGAAGAAGCGCCGAAAGATGCGCCAGCGCTCGAAGTGAGGAGGCCCGCATGTCTCACAACGGGCCAATGGCAGTATCTCGTAAGAGTGCCATCACGCTGAAGGTGATTGCGTCCTATTCAGAAGAAGCCATCGTCGCGGAAGATCGCTCCTTGGAGCGAGGAGAGTTCCTGTCATGCCCAGGGAAGAGCTTCGGTCACTCATCACGGCGACGTGCTTCTCCAGCCCTGACTCTGAGGCTCTCGACCAGTATTGGACTCCAGACGTGACGAGCTGTGGGAAGGGACGAATCCAGAGACGGCTGCCGGAAAATGCGGGCCCGCGTTCAGTCTTGTGATTTCGGGGATCATCCTGCTTTCACAGGTCTCGGCAGATTGCAAAGGATCATGGTTTTCGGCATTCCTGGTGGAACATCCAGGTAGTTGACGAGACTGCAAACTGCTTTGTGCAGAGCCATATTGGCTCTGGAGGCCAGGCTTCGGGGGGGCTGGGCGCCATGGCGCACAAGTCCAACCCGTACAAGAAGGCCACGCCCCCGGTGAAAAGCAGAAATGCTTGTAGCCGCAAGCGGTTGCAGATCCCACCCGGACATGATGCTAAGGCTCGCTCGAAGTTTCGCTGGAAGTGGAAGAAGAAGCGCACGCGCCGATTGCAAAAGAAGCGCCGAAAGATGCGCCAGCGCTCGAAGTGAAGCGGAGGTGAGGCGCTGTTGCGGTCAGACTTCACGATGGTGGGCTTCCTTTCGTACCGTATGCCGACCCAGCCGCAGTCATCTGCTTGTCTGTCCAGGATCCAGTGGATGATCTGGCTGAGCATTCTGGGCGTGCAACCCACCTCGCGCCTCGCAAGCAGATGAGTTCCCAAAGCAGGTGGATGCAGGGGTCTTGGAAGAACTCGTCCGTTAAAGACCTGTCTGCCAAGGCGAAGACGACTTCCTGAGTGGACTCCGTTGGACCTGTGCCGTCAGGCAATCGCCCGGAAAACGAGAGCTGCCACTTCGTATGTTGATTCCAGGTGGAAGGTATGTGTGCACGATGCTTACGAGTCTGTTCTAGGAGCTACCCAGGCAGGCATTGCAGCCAGGCACAAAACCTGCGACTTTGCCAGCTACAAGTTATAGGGAGAACAGGTTTAGAGTGTCACTGCTTTGCTGTGCTGCAGAGCTTCGTGCTCAAGAGCCAAAATCTCAAGGCTTCGGGGGGGCTGGGCGCCATGGCGCACAAGTCCAACCCGTACAAGAAGGCCACGCACCAAATGCTTCGTAGCCGCGAGAGGCTGCAGATCCCACCCAGTCATGATGCTAAGGCTCGCTCGAAGTTTCGCTGGAAGTGGAAGAAGAAGCGCACGCGCCGATTGCAAAAGAAGCGCCGAAAGATGCGCCAGCGCTCGAAGTGAAGAGGTTTCCTGCCAGCATTGACTCGGAGTTCACAGACCCCTGCGTCTGACCGTCTGTCCAGGCTGCCTCGCAAAGATGCTCGGCCCATCCCATCGGGCAGTGGAGGGGGATTCAGGTGCCACGGGTTCCACGCGTGAGGTTCTCCAGCGAAGGCAGATCCTCGCATCTTGTGCCGAGGCGTTGAAGTGAGCGAACACATGAGAGGAAGCCTTGTGACCTAGTGAGTCTGATGCGTACTGCGCGGCCCAAAGTCGACAAATGTGGGTCGGGCCCATCTGCCCTCAGTCGGATGCAGAAAGGCTTTAACTGCATGTGATCACAGCCTGTCGTGCTCAGTCACCCCCCAAGCTTTGCACCAGTAGCTCGTAAGCATGGTCAATCCGAGCCGAGTGCCCAGTCTACTCCTGATGGCATCGTCAGCCCTCGCTTGGCAGGATTGGTGTGGCTGGGTACCCATCTCTCTACAGCAAGAGGTTGCAGGCTGCACAGAGGGATCGAACACATCTTTTGCAGGCAAGATGGAAGGCTGCGTCGAGTGGTGCGAGTGGGTACCGGTACTTGGATGGATGTACGTCGAAGAATGCAGCCTTTGCATCAACAGCACAGTCATCACCAACGTCACTTCCTCGATGAAGCCTCAGCCAAGAGGTCTGAAAGCCAAGCGGCTGGATGAAGTCTTTCCCGACTGGTGTCGGTGGCTGCCATCTGCATCTTTGAAGTTTGTGGGTGACTGTGCCGGCTACGGAGGCGACCAGATTCCAGTTGGCCCACAGTGTGCAAGCTGGTGCCACTGGGTGCCACAAGCATCCTGGCTTGACCCACCCGACTGCCGTGGATGCCAGCCATCTGGTTCGAGCGACAACGTATCGGAAGTTGAAGACGTCCCGCTTTGGTGCAATTGGGTTCCCCCACTCCTGCTACAGTTTGTTGATGCCTGTGTCAGCGGTGGATCCAGCATCCCTGCAGTGGCGGAAGGCTGCACCTACTGGTGCGTCTGGGTATCAGGCCCTGCGTGGCACCATGTGCATGAGTGTCATCGATGCTCCAACGAGACCATGCAGAACACCAGCAATGCCAGCAATGCCACAAACGGCACTCAGGAGGAACGAGAAGATGCTGTTTTGCCTTTGCCCCGCCACGGAACGGCCGGCCTCAAGGTGAAGCTTGCGGATCCGGCTCCACTCGCGGATCCTGACTGGTGTCGCTGGGTACCGGCCGCGTCTCTGGAGCACGTTCCCGACTGCACAGGCTATGGGGATGGATCTGGGGAACCTTGGCTTAAACCTGCATCCCGACGCCAGTGCGAAGGCTGGTGCCAGTGGGTGCCGCAGCCGGCTTGGCAGTATCCTCCCGGCTGCCGCGGATGCGCTTGATATGTATGTATTATCTGGCCATATCTGGTCCTATGAGGCCTCGAAAAAGCCATGTTGTAAAGTACAGCACAGTGGGCTTGGCTGCCCTGGTGTACAGTGCCTTGAGCAACTTGCCGTTTTTGGCAACTTTTGGGCCGACTCCCCACGCTTGTCTGTGGATTATGGAGGGAGCGTGCATTGTGCAGCTGCAAAACTTGGTTTGCCTGCATGTGGTGGCGATCTCCATCTCTCAGCGTGCACTAGACTAAAGGATGAACCGAGCATCATAACGAGCCGGAATCCTGCATGCCGCTCACGATTTGTGGAGTGTTGGTCCTGCGACTAGGAGATTTGGTTAGCAAGTCTTGATTTCACGGCTTTGATGATGGAACAGTCATTCCACCACCTTGATGGCACGCAACGACAACATGCAGAGCCACATTGGCTCCGGAGGCCAGGCTTCGGGGGGGCTGGGCGCCATGGCGCACAAGTCCAACCCGTACAAGAAGGCCACGCACCAAATGCTTCGTAGCCGCGAGCGGTTGCAGATCCCACCCGGACATGATGCTAAGGCTCGCTCGAAGTTTCGCTGGAAGTGGAAGAAGAAGCGCACGCGCCGATTGCAAAAGAAGCGCCGAAAGATGCGCCAGCGCTCGAAGTGAAGCGGAGGTGAGGCGCTGTTGCGATCAGACTTCACGATGGTGGGCTTCCTTTCGAACCGTGTGCCGACCCAGCCGAAGTCATCGGCTTGTCTGTCCAGGATCCAGTGGATGATCTGACTGAGCATTCTGGGCGTGCAACCAACCTCGTGCCTCGCAAGCAGATGAGTTCCCAAAGGAGGTGGATGCAGGGGTCTTGGAAGAACTCATCCGTTAAAGACCTGTCTGCCAAGGCGAAGACGACTTCCTGAGTGGACTCCGTTGGACCTATGCCGTCAGACAATCACCCGGAAAACGAGAGCTGCCACTTTGCATGTTGATTCCAGGTGGAAGGTTCGTGTGCACGATGCTTACGAGTCTGTTCTAGGAGCTACCCAGACAGGCATTGCTGCCAGGCGCAAAACCTATACCGCTGCGACTTTGCCAGCTACAAGTTATAGGGAGAACAGGTTTAGAGTGTCACTGCTTTGCTGTGCTGCAGAGCTTCGTGCTCAAGAGCCAAAATCTCAAGGCTTCGGGGGGGCTGGGCGCCATGGCGCACAAGTCCAACCCGTACAAGAAGGCCACGCACCAAATGCTTCGTAGCCGCGAGAGGCTGCAGATCCCACCCAGCCATGATGCTAAGGCTCGCTCGAAGTTTCGCTGGAAGTGGAAGAAGAAGCGCACGCGCCGATTGCAAAAGAAGCGCCGAAAGATGCGCCAGCGCTCGAAGTGAAGCGGAGGTGAGGCGCTGTTGCGATCAGACTTCACGATGGTGGGCTTCCTTTCGAACCGTGTGCCGACCCAGCCGAAGTCATCGGCTTGTCTGTCCAGGATCCAGTGGATGATCTGACTGAGCATTCTGGGCGTGCAACCAACCTCGTGCCTCGCAAGCAGATGAGTTCCCAAAGCAGGTGGATGCAGGGGTCTTGGAAGAACTCATCCGTTAAAGACCTGTCTGCCAAGGCGAAGACGACTTCCTGAGTGGACTCCGTTGGACCTGTGCCATCAGGCAATCGCCCGGAAAACGAGAGCTGCCACTTTGCATGTTGATTCCAGGTGGAAGGTTCGTGTGCACGATGCTTACGAGTCTGTTCTAGGAGCTACCCAGGCAGGCATTGCTGCCAGGCGCAAAACCTATACCGCTGCGACTTTGCCAGCTACAAGCTATAGGGAGAACAGGTTTAGAGTGTCACTGCTTTGCTGTGCTGCAGAGCTTCGTGCTCAAGAGCCAAAATCTCAAGGCTTCGGGGGGGCTGGGCGCCATGGCGCACAAGTCCAACCCGTACAAGAAGGCCACGCACCAAATGCTTCGTAGCCGCGAGAGGCTGCAGATCCCACCCAGCCATGATGCTAAGGCTCGCTCGAAGTTTCGCTGGAAGTGGAAGAAGAAGCGCACGCGCCGATTGCAAAAGAAGCGCCGAAAGATGCGCCAGCGCTCGAAGTGAAGCGGAGGTGAGGCGCTGTTGCGATCAGACTTCACGATGGTGGGCTTCCTTTCGAACCGTGTGCCGACCCAGCCGAAGTCATCGGCTTGTCTGTCCAGGATCCAGTGGATGATCTGACTGAGCATTCTGGGCGTGCAACCAACCTCGTGCCTCGCAAGCAGATGAGTTCCCAAAGCAGGTGGATGCAGGGGTCTTGGAAGAACTCATCCGTTAAAGACCTGTCTGCCAAGGCGAAGACGACTTCCTGAGTGGACTCCGTTGGACCTGTGCCATCAGGCAATCGCCCGGAAAACGAGAGCTGCCACTTTGCATGTTGATTCCAGGTGGAAGGTTCGTGTGCACGATGCTTACGAGTCTGTTCTAGGAGCTACCCAGGCAGGCATTGCTGCCAGGCGCAAAACCTATACCGCTGCGACTTTGCCAGCTACAAGTTATAGGGAGAACAGGTTTAGAGTGTCACTGCTTTGCTGTGCTGCAGAGCTTCGTGCTCAAGAGCCAAAATCTCAAGGCTTCGGGGGGGCTGGGCGCCATGGCGCACAAGTCCAACCCGTACAAGAAGGCCACGCACCAAATGCTTCGTAGCCGCGAGAGGCTGCAGATCCCACCCAGCCATGATGCTAAGGCTCGCTCGAAGTTTCGCTGGAAGTGGAAGAAGAAGCGCACGCGCCGATTGCAAAAGAAGCGCCGAAAGATGCGCCAGCGCTCGAAGTGAAGCGGAGGTGAGGCGCTGTTGCGATCAGACTTCACGATGGTGGGCTTCCTTTCGAACCGTGTGCCGACCCAGCCGAAGTCATCGGCTTGTCTGTCCAGGATCCAGTGGATGATCTGACTGAGCATTCTGGGCGTGCAACCAACCTCGTGCGGGTCATGCAGGCTGGTCATGCAGACTTGCATTCGTTGGACAGTTGCGTCGTTGATGGGATGCATGGTAACCTTGGCATGTCAATGTGCTGCCATGTGCTGCCTGTGTACGTCGTCGTTCTATCGCAAGAGGACCAGAAGAGTCATCCATCAACTTGAAGGAAGGCGCATGCTCGGCTGTCGACATTTGGTGGGCTTTTCCTCTTTCTGACACATCTCCTGGGAGGTGATCGTCGTTTCATTGCGTGCGATGCTGGAAGAAACAACGAGCTAGAGCTGCGAGTGGGAAGGTCTGTTACAGCCGGACGGAAAACAGAGTCGAGCACCCTTCGCTGTGTTCAGCCCACGTTGCCTTTTCTGGCTGTTTCTGCATGGTGTATCAATTAGCCCGCGGTGATCTGAAGGAGTGCGACCTGGACCTTACGATCTTGCGCTACTGACTTCGCAGATTTAGCCAGTTGGCAAAAGCAGCCTGTACTGGCTGTGGCTCTTCGCAGTGAAGTGCCTCGTGACTCCTAGGGTCCTAGAGCTTTGCTAGTAGACTGCACTCCGATGCAGCTTCGGTTTCACGGCAGCTTGCCTTTGTTAGAGCTTGCAGCTTGCTGCTGCTAAATGAACTGCCTGGTAACCCAAGCACAGCCGCAGACTCAGCTGGACAGCTTGCGGAGTCATGCGTGGAAGCTGCAGCCAAGAAGCTCAGCAGGAGTACCACGCGCCAGCAAAACCCCACTCACAGGCACCCATAGCATGGTCTGTTGGATGTAGCCTTGGTACGAAAAACCGCAAAGCTATGTGCAACTGATTAGTCCCTGACCTTTACCCCTTGCCCGCTGATGTGGTGCAAGTGCTGCGAGCCCGAGCCGCAGGACGATTTTGCTATGCTCTGGTCTTGGCAAATGCTGCCCTTTCGATCAGGAGAACCTCGTTGACGTGCAACCACGTGAGATCCTGCAGACGCCAACTCCGCAGAAGAAGGTATGTCTGAAGCTATGCACAACCACTGCTCCTGAACTCGCACATCTCATCCCTTGAAGGACGAGCAAGATGCGCTTGCGGCAGTGATCCAGGAATCAGCAGCGCCGACAGTGGAGGTCAAGGAGGCAGCGGCGGCGTCCACAGCGGCGGCTGCGAGCACTGAGAAGGCAGACCTACCGCAGAACTACTCGTTGAGAGATGCATGACGAGTTGGCAGCATCTTGCTAGTCAAGAGATAGCTTCGATTTTGAACGGGGTGAGTGCAAGTGCAGCGTGCAGCGCTTGGAGAGTTGTCCCCCTCCATTGTTGCGGAAGGAAGACAGCCCCAGCAACCTCTTCACCGTCACACTAGACTGTCAAGGCCTGTGCAGTCGATGGCGTCGGTGGTTTTAGGAGTTGTGCGGTCCGTCGTCCCTCTGATGCTCCGCTATTTGTGGCTGCTGCTTAGCCAGGCGATCTCGGCATCGTGCTCGATGACTTGGGTTCACGAGGCAAACCGGAGGGCGGCGTAGCTAACGCTAGCTTTCTCTCTCTGAGGGTTCCAACGCCGTTGCTGGGAGTTTTGGCTGCGCTCCCACTGGGGAGATCGCTGTGCTAAGCTGCTAGTTCAGGCCTGGTTATAGCTGCGATGAGTGCGGGAAGTGCACGAGACGATGGAAAGCTCCAACAGTATGTCCCCTGTAAGCAAAAGTTCAGAGTTGTCAGCGTGAGCAATGAGCTCGGTAATTTGGAACAGCCGAGGATTGCATCGTGTCAGTCAATGGAGTGAACGGCGATGTAACTTGTCAGGGTCGTCCAGAAGTGCACATGTGTGCCGGGGAGCAACGCCGACCCAGGTGAATCGGATGTGGGACATCTTGGAGTCGCCTGGCAAGTGCACGCTGACGGTGCTGCGGCCAACCGACCCTTGGCCCGGCTGCGGTGGGCTGCGGTCAGCCCATGTCAGCTCCAGAGAGTCGTTTCCATGAAGCCCGGCAGCTGAGGAGATGGCCTTCAAGCTGAAGAAGTCGGACGAGGAGCCTTTGGGAATCCACATGAACTTCAAAAGCTATTCTGCGGGGTCTCTTGGACTGCAAGTGAGCTGTTGGATGGGATTTGCACGGTTTCAGATTCGTTCTTAGGATGGCTTGCGAAGAGGGGCAGTTTGAGAGACCATGGTGGCAGTTTGGCAACTAACGCTTGCCAGACGAAAAGGCTTGAGTGAGAAGGTCTCTGAAGAGGTTGCATGTCGGAATCTCAGGATAGTGCTGGAGGAGATCAAAAAAGGCGGACGCTCTTCTGAAGCGTCCTCCCCTTCATGTTTCGCAGAAGCAGCAGCCAACATGCTGAGAGGGCAGACGGCATGTATGCCAGGGTTGTCTTGACGGCGTGTCGGGAGCCTGCAAAGCTGAGGACAGTTCGACAGGTTCTTGGATTCACTGCCTGAGGAGTGCAAAGGGTACTGCGGGGTTCTGGGTGTTAGATCTTTCCTTGAGTCCTGAACTGCAGAGTCCGATGCATTCCAGGCCTCTCGTGCCCTTCCTGGCGATCGGTTCGTGGCCATCAACGGCACTCACCTCAAAGGCACGCCCTGCACGAGGGCGGGGGTGTCGACTCCCAAGCATAGTCTTAGCAGTCTTCCCACGGGCTTGGCTCCTGCCCTTGCACATCGGCTGTTTTTTAGCGCCTGGCCTGGTCGCGTTGAGAGTGCGTGTGAAAACGAATGCGTCGGCAAGCAGATGGCGATCGAAGCAGCTCCCCGAGCTGGGGAGAAACTGCCCTGTCTTCCGATCATTTCCGATCCATCCCAAGGTGCTACGGTGCGTTTACACTTTGCACATCATGTCGCGAGGGCCTGTGTCCTCGTTGTTGCGATTTCAAGCTGCCAGCACGAACAGGCTGCAAATGCAGCAGGCACTTCTGCACGAGCGTAGCACTACTGAAGATACCACTCTCGCTTCACAGTCTCAAAGTGTCAAGAAGTATTCTTTTCCCAGCAGATCGCGTCTTGCACCCACAACTTTGTGCATCTGTGCAGTCTGCTGCAAGGTGCCGAGCTGGTCGAAGCTTTGAAGCGGGACCGATCGTGTAAAGGTGTTGGATGTTTGGGTCTTTTGCATGCTCCTTTAGCGCCTGCACCCAACCCGCGAGAGATACGAGATCAAGAGCCCGCCCCGCAGGAAGCGAACTTGGAGATCATAGGCCTACGTTATTGACATCTTTGACGCTGAGCATAGCGGCTGCCGGAGCGGCTCTGAACCATGGCCATGTGGCGGCCAAGCGTGTCTTGTGTGTTGTGAGGGGATCCATGTATTTAAGGCAAGTCGTGTATGCACCAGCGGGAACCGCAAGTTGCATGCATTGGCTTGATGTACATATAGATGCTTTAGGTGGTCGAGCGTCCTACAGGCAAGTCTTGATGCCTGCCACAGCTTTTTTTGGACGTACACATGCAGCGGCGACTAAGTCGTCAAGCGGGGCTTTGCCTGATGTAGGTGTTTGCTCACGTGGGCTCAGCGGGATTCTGCAATAGAGTTTTCTCAGCAGCGTCTCATCTGGAAGACGCACGAAGGGACCTAAGGATTCTGCCTCCAAACTGATTTGAAACCTTCGAACAGCCAGATCAGTCTTGAAATTGGCAGGCGAGGCTGCTAGCGAAGTGCCGCCAAAGGCGCAGAAGAGAGCGTGGAAATGCGTAGCTGCCACCGTGAAGTCTCAGAGCTGAGCTGGGAAGTCTCCGTATCGTCAAATTCGCTCGCCTGTTGCTCGCAATTTTGGGCTCGGACTCAGAATCAGGGTGTCAGGGCAGCCGACTGAACTTGAGCCTTGGCCCCTGCGACTCGTTTTCCAGGGATGTTTTGCGCATGCTGCGAGTCCCAGACGCAGGACATTGGCCCAAGTTGTGCTGACTTGCAAGTGCAAGGGGTGCGAACACAATCCATCAATCATTCGATCTGGGGTCAGGAGAACCTCGTCGAGGTGGTCTCCCACGAGATCTTGCAGACACCAGCTCCGCAGAAGAAGGCCAGCTTGAGGCATGCCATCGGTAGTTAGGTTACTTGAAGTCCGAGCTTTAGTCCTTGTCGCAAGGACGAGCAGGCTGCACCAGTGCTCGCGGAGAAGGCAGGGTGAAGAGTGCGAAGATGTGCAAACATTCGCACTTCCTCGGCCTTGCTTCGAAGTTCTCAAGGCCGAAGCTCCCAGCAATGTCTTCACGGTGACGATCGAGAGTCGAGGCCCGACGGGCCGCAACCCAACCGAAGGGATGAGGGATGAGGGTTGGTGAGAAGAGATGACGGTCTTTTGTGCAAGATTCGGATCGGGGCGCTAAGAGTACTGGGGCTGAATGCCTCAGCGCAGATCCAAGTGCACTTCCCTGAGCGCGATGCCAGGCGACTTTGGTGTCGTGCTCGATGACTTGGGTTCGAGAGGTTCATCGACATGCAGAGCAGACTTTGTCGCTGCACGACCAACGGGTCAATGCCCGGGTAGTCTGCTTCCCTGCACAGCCACGAGACAGCTGAGCATGTCGGCAGCAAAGCTGTCCGAAGCTGCTGTTGTGCTGGTTCAGGCCCGGTGATTGCCGCCGTGAACAAGGGTGCCGCACACGACAATGGCACACTCCGAAAGTATGCTTCTTGTCATCAAAGTCTAGCAGTCTAGCATTGCAGTTGCGGGGAAGATCTTCTGGTGGGCTGAGGACTGCATCCTCTCAGTCAACGGAGTGGAGAGTGATGTGCCTTGGACGAAGGACGAGGTGTGTGGAGGCTTACAGGGGCTTCCATGGCATTCTGGCCCAGGTGAATCGGATGTGGGACATCTTGGAGTCGCCTGGCAAGTGCACGCTGACGGTGCTGCGGCCAACCGACCCTTGGCCCGGCTGCGGTGGGCTGCGGTCAGCCCATGTCAGCTCCAGAGAGTCGTTTCCATGAAGCCCGGCAGCTGAGGAGATGGCCTTCAAGCTGAAGAAGTCGGACGAGGAGCCTTTGGGAATCCACATGAACTTCAAAAGCTATTCTGCGGGGTCTCTTGGACTGCAAGTGAGCTGTTGGATGGGATTTGCACGGTTTCAGATTCGTTCTTAGGATGGCTTGCGAAGAGGGGCAGTTTGAGAGACCATGGTGGCAGTTTGGCAACTAACGCTTGCCAGACGAAAAGGCTTGAGTGAGAAGGTCTCTGAAGAGGTTGCATGTCGGAATCTCAGGATAGTGCTGGAGGAGATCAAAAAAGGCGGACGCTCTTCTGAAGCGTCCTCCCCTTCATGTTTCGCAGAAGCAGCAGCCAACATGCTGAGAGGGCAGACGGCATGTATGCCAGGGTTGTCTTGACGGCGTGTCGGGAGCCTGCAAAGCTGAGGACAGTTCGACAGGTTCTTGGATTCACTGCCTGAGGAGTGCAAAGGGTACTGCGGGGTTCTGGGTGTTAGATCTTTCCTTGAGTCCTGAACTGCAGAGTCCGATGCATTCCAGGCCTCTCGTGCCCTTCCTGGCGATCGGTTCGTGGCCATCAACGGCACTCACCTCAAAGGCACGCCCTGCACGGGCTGAGAGGGAGATTCCCTGGTGTGTTCATTTAACTTGCCTTTCAGGCCCGCAGAACTTCGCCCCACTCTTCTTTTTTTGGGGTCATGTTTCGTTCTCAAAACCGCCTGAACTCCGAGTTGGAAGGTGCCGATCTGGTTGAGGCAGTGAAGAAGGACTGCATTTGGGTTTCGGATATCTCTGGCGACCTCAGAAATTCGCAAGTGCACCTTCAGTTGAAGGGTAATGTGGGATCGTGGAGTGTTCCCGATCGATGTCGACGATTGAAGATGGCTCAGTAGATGGTAAGAACGCCAGGAGGCGAACTTGGAGATATCAGCGCTGCGCTACTGATCTCCATGGAGCCCTTTGGAAGTTGTGTCGCAGATTCTCGTTTCTGGGAGTGCTTCGGTAAGCTCCGTGAAAATGTGGCCAGGAATGTTTTGTGCTTCGTGCAGTGCGGAAGCATTTATGCAAGTTGTGCATGCAAGAGCGGTAACCGCAAGTTTGCATGTTGCAGCTGAGTGGCATATGCTGCCGGCTTTGCATACAAACCATGGTAGAGACGCCATCGGTTCAGCTGTTAATCCTAGTAGTAGTCATGTCAGATGTACAAAAAGAGCTGCGACTAAGTCGCCAAGCTTCGCTTTCGCTTAATGGCAGTCTTCCATTGCCACATCTGCCGTTGATGACTGTGTTTTGTGGCACTTCCTGAGTCGGAGATGCGGGTTAGAGATGAGACAGAGCCAAACAAGTGCAGGCCCGAGTGCTATCCAGAAGATCACATCGTTCGCCAGACTTGAGCCACCTGCTGTGTACACGGCGGAGTTGAGCAGCGACTTGGGATGCGAATGTGCACCCATGAAGACCGTGCAGCATCGTGATTGCGCCATAGCGAGATTGCTCGTGCTTTATCAGAGAAACCATAACTAGCACCAAGCCCTTTGCGTGCATTCAGGCAGATTTCGTGTTCTTCTCATAGAGCATCATCCCAGACAATTGGGGCTCCCCAAGCCAGCTGCCTTTCCTGTTTCTTTGTTCACTTCATTGGGATAATAGGCCTCTGCCAGTGCCATGATCTGCTGCTGCGGGGCAGAGGAGGAGGAGTCGGCTGCTCCAGATCCCTGGTGTTAAGCATAAGCCGTCCATCGCTTCGAAGGAAGTGGTGGAGGAGGCTCCCGTCGTGTCGGTCCTGGGGGGCTCAGAGCCGGGCGAGCTGGTGAAGACGAGCGCCTTGCAGGCCCGACACCTTGGCATGAAGACGAGCCCGGCCTGCGGTCCCGTGGTTCTGCAGTCCCTGTGATAAGCACGCACATATATATATATATATATATGTATATATATATACACACATGTATATAGATAAATAGGTAGGCAGAGAGATAGAGGTAGATATAGATATAGAAGATGGTGGTGCAGGAGTAGAAAACAGATACAGACATAGATATCACGGACTAGATATAGATAGGTATGCAGGTATACATGTAACTAGAACGAGCTAGATATAGGTTGATATGGATATAGTCAGCTTTAGATAGACAGATACAGATATAAGCAAAGTAACATATGTATATACAAGCACACATTTTTTATAGATAGGCACGCGTGGTTTCTCGACGGGTCGTATTGTGTTAATCGGAGGGCTCGCAACGGCAAGTCGTAACTGTACCGCAGCCGTTCGACTTAGGCGCATCCGTTCCGCAATCCGACGGTGTGCTAGCCTTTTCTTTAGTCTGTCACGGCTTGATGCCTTCTTCTTCAGACTCGTCCCGCTCCCGCCCTCGCCGACGGCGTAGGGCCCGGCGGTCCTCGAGTACATCATCCTCATCTTCGAGGCTGTTTTTCCGCTAACATTTCTGCCTCTTGACCCTTTCTGTCAGGCGGCCCCGGTCCCGCCTCTCCGCCAAGAGGCCGACCCCGCCTTTTTACACTTCCCGCCTTGGCCCATATCTGGCTAAGGTCCTTTGGTGCCCAGCTCCGTTCCATCATGTATGGTCCCCAGCTGTATGCACTCTAATTGTTCGCTTCCCGTTGGCTCTTCCCAGGCCTGACCCGGCTTCTGGTCCGCCGGTCTCGCCCCCGAAGGCCGGCTTGCAAGCTGCTTCCGGTCCTGCTTTAGCTCTGGCTGATTGTCTCGCCTTGATTGCTCGAGCTACCCCTGCCTCCTGCCGCAGCCGCTTTTAGCTTTAACGCTTTCTGCCTTCTCTGCCTTTCGCTCTTGCTGATCATGGCCCGCTTTGGTGGACACACTCTCCGCGACCTGGCCCGCGGTGTGGTGGGAGCTGCCGTTGGCATCCGGTCCGACGTCGACCCGACTCCGGCCGATGTCGAGGCCCAGGCCGTCCCGACGGAGACCCCGGCCCAGGACACCACCGTGGCTCCGGACCCGGCCCCCCCCGTGGATCCACCTGCCACCCCGTCCCAGCCCCCTGCCAAACGTGGTGCCGACTTTCTCGCGCCCCAAAAGCAGCCTCCCAGCCACCCCCCTACGACTGGTGGCCTGCCAGCTGCTCCGGCCGGACCCCCTAAGAAGAAAGCCAGCTTTCCTCCGGCCCGGCCTTCCACCCCCTCTTTCCCCCCCGCCAAGCCGGCGGCTCGCCGCCCCTCGAGATGGACCTGTCCGTTTTATGCACTCTGGACGATGATGCCATTTACCGGTCCCTGGCCGACTTGCCACCGTCCCAGGTGACTCGACTTCTTTGTTTGATCGCTGAGGTCGCCCAGGACGTCACTTATGCCATGGGCAACCTGGGCCAGCTAGACGTCGAGGTTCCGGTCGCGCACATGTCCCAGACCGGCCCGCCTCCGAACCGAGGACGCTATCCGCAGATGACCTCGCACCGTTGCCGGCCGGTCCGCGCTTTCCGGACCAACAGGCAGCCGACGCCATCCATGCCGGTCTGGACCAGAACGATGGTACCAGGCCCGATGGCAACCCGGCCCAGCCGACCCCCCCGCTGCTGGTGGTGATTCCGGTGGCCTCCGTGTCCTGCCCGGTTTCGCCCGCCCCCGCCAGGCCCTCCTTACGGACACGTCGGCCATTGACCCGAACGCGCCGCTGGTCCACTCTGATCCCAACCGCCCCGGCTGCACTCCGGTCTTTGTGGATCGGGGCCAACTCACCCCGCGCCGGGCCAACACCGGCCCCTGGACCATTAGCGAAGGCTGGGAGCGCCTGAGCATTTTCCTGCCTGAGACGCCCGGCCCGTTCATCCGCACGGACTCCTGGCCCTGGCCCGACCTCTTTTGCTTTGAGGAGCAGGACTTGCCAAGCTGGGCTCCGCTTCAGGAGCCTCCGTCTGTTTTGTCTCACCTGCACATTCGCGGCTACTGCTCGCATGATTGTCCGGCCCGGGGCCCGCATTGTCTCCGCATTTGCCTCCGGCCCGTGATGTTGCATTCCCGGACCGATCACACCGGGCACAAATGCCCTTACTGTATCCAGGACGGGTGCTAGGCACCTGATCCGGACCGCCCCGCGTTCCCTGTGCCTTTTATGGCCCATATTCCAACTAGTCTCCTAAGATCATCGTGTTGGGGTGGTCCGCTAGGCCCGGTGCTGTGCACTTTTCTGCTTCTCGCGGCCGGCCTGATCCGGCCCCGCTGCGGCGATGCCTAAAAAGTCGTGGTTCCCCGCCTTGCTGCACCTGCCTGCCTCTTTCAGAGACATGTTGCTTTTGTTTTTTCCTGCCGCCAGGCCAACATCGAGCTGGAGACCATCGAGGATGCGCCGGTCTCTTTCTTGCGCTTTGTTCCGCTTTTTGTTGCTTACCCTGCCCGGCCAGGTACCTGTGCATCCGCCGGTGGCCCCTGCGGGCAACCCGGCCTTGGCATCTGACCTTGGTTCCTTGCTTCACGGCTTTCCTTTGCAGCCCTCCGCTGCCGCTCCTCTGATCACACCGCCCCGCCCGCAGCGGTTGGATTTTTTGGGCGACGCCTCCCCGCGTCAGTGTGATTCTCCGGCCTCGGCCCCTGGGCCCTCGGCACCGCCTCATTCCAGCCCTTCTTCGGCATCCTCTACATCCTTTCAGGTCGTGCCGGTCCCTACTGCTCACCCGGTCGATCCTCCCTTACCTGGACTTGCATCATTGCTTGTGCCTCGTCTTGGGCTGGCCTTGCCCTGCCTGTCCCGTGCCTCTTTGTCGGACCTGGCTGCTCGCCCCCGGCCCGCTCGGCCTCGGCCTGCACCCTTCCCCTTGTTCCGGCCTCTTCGCTGCCCGGCTCTGCGTCCTGCACGTTCGGCTCCTACGTTTCCGTTGGGCCCACCACTTCTATCCTGCCCCCGGGTACCTCGCCTGCCCCGCGACCCATTGGCGTACCCCCGGGGTCTTTCTGCCTCATCTCCGGATACGCGGCCCTCTGTGATTCCCCCGGCGCCCTTCGTGCATTCTGGCTTTTTGCCACTGGCTACTGACGCCTCCGATTCCTCCTCTATGGAATCCACAACTGCTCGCGCCTTGGCACATTTCCGCAACATGTTTTGCGACTTTGTTCAGGAGCTTGGCGACCGCTGCACCCTGTTTTTGCATACCAAGCTGGTACCCTCGCCTCGGGAACTCCAAGCACGTGCCATCGCGAAAAATGCCCCCAGCACTTTGCAGCTTTACTTGCGTTCCTGGTCTGCCTGGGTCCGGCACTGTATCCTTTCTGGGATTGATCCTGCCGACCCGCCGCCCGGTGCACTCCCGTCCTGGCTTCAGTTGACTTCCGCCCCTTCTGGCCTCTCCACCACCAGTTTCAAGGCCTTGAGTTGGATGGCCAAGGTGGCGGGCTTGCCATCTATACAGGTACAGTTGCACACTCCGCTCTGCTCCGCGTTTCTCTCCTCGACCGGCCCGGTGGAAAAGCGTGAAGCATTGCCTCTTTCCGTGTCCTTTGTCGTCTGGCTCGAACGGTCCGTCATGGATCCCACGACTCTGCTTGCCGAGGTCCTGCTTCGGGGGTCGGTCCTGTGCCTGATTTGGTCGTCTCTTCGTTGGAACGACGGCCTTTGGTCTCCCCCGTCCCGGGTGATACTGCAATCTGGCTCCACTGCCCTGACCGGTGTCGCCACCCGCACTAAAAGCTGCCGGGCCAACATGCCGTGGGGTTGCCAGCTCTACGGGTTGACGGGCTCGCCGTCCGCTTGTTGGGGCATATCCTGGCTTAACGCTCTTCAGCAGTGCCTGTCCGACACCAAACGCATTTTCCCGGACCGCACGGTGGATTTCTTGCTGCCGGTCCTCGGGCCTGACCCTGCCTCTCCGGTGTTTGTCTCTCCTTTGCACCGGTCCCGCGCCATGCCCTGGCTCCGGGCCCTCCTGCAAGAACACTGGCACCTGCACTCCCCCGAGGCCTGCCCACCTGAGCACTCCATGTATGGGGTTCACAGCTGCAAGGCCACTGTCCTATCCTGGGCCAGGCAGCTTAACCTTGACCCTGAGCTTCGCCGTCTGCAAGGCCATCACCGTCCGTCCTCCATGGAAGGCTCCGTTCGGGTCTATAGCCGAGACGATATAGGCCCAATGTTATCGTTGCAGGCTGAGGTCATTAACCGAATCCGGTCCGGTTACCGCCCCCTTCAGCCAGTGGGCCGCGGCTCTAGCAAACCATTGCCTGACTTTCGGGTGTCCTTGCCGCCACCTGATAGCAACATGGGTGGCATGGCGCCTCGGGAACGCGCTGGCCGATCGCGCTCCCCCCGGCGCCGCCCGGAACCGGCTGAAGAGGAAGTGGAAAGCACTGACCTCTCTGATGACAGCTCCGACTCCGAACAATCCGGGAATCCGGGGCCTCGGGTTCGGACGATGACTTTGCCAAGCCTCGGCCCCCTCGCTCCCAACAGCGAGAGCCCAGCATGAATGGGTTTCTGCACAACCCTCGCAGCAACGTCTTGCACCGTCCCGTTCCGTGCCCGCCCGACACTGCAAAGTCCGTACGCGTGTCTCTGCTGGGCCTGGAACCATTTTGGGTGAAACCGGCCTGTGGGGCCTCTGTTGGTCAGCTCTGCTCTGAGGCATGGTGTTCCGCCCCGCCGGCGGGTGCCCAGCTCTGCCTCCGCCGCGCCTGCCAGACTTGATGCCCCGCCCCGCTGTGAAGAAGATGCATCTGCATGTGCCAGCTCGTGCCAGTTCCATGCGCCTGTGGTCACACTTGCTTGCACTGTTTTCTTCCGCAGCCGTTTTCTGTTTCAGCCAGCCCCGCCCCAACCCCCCCTTTATTGTCGCCATCTTCCGCCATGGCTTCTGATGGTTATCCGTCGGCTGGGCCTGGGGACCGTCCGGTTCGAGCGGCCTGGGACCTGCTCCGGAACTGCAAGACCTGGAAGATTTTACCGACCAGCAACTCCTTGACCTCTTGCGTCGCTGCTCGGTCAGCTTCCTGTCCCGACTGGTCCGTCTTTGTGGGAGCATCCTGCGACCGCCCCGGGTCGTGATCTACTGCCAACTGCCATGCGTCAATCCGGAATGTCCACAAGTGTGTGGCCGTCAGGTGGATCCGACCCGCAGACGCCAGCATCAGAATCACGCGTGCCGCATATGCCACCGCTTCGGATGGTAGCTCAGCGGCCGCATACCAGGGGACTGGCCGGAGGCCGCCAAGCCCCCCATATTACTCCGCACCTGGACGGTGCTATTCACCGGCGTGGACGGTCGGTCAAAAAAACCTGGACTCGGCCCTGCTCCTGTGTTTGCTGGGATTGCCTGCCTCTGTCCGCTTATTACTGCCTCCGTCCCGCTGCCATTTTCAGGCTCTTAGGATCAGGGTAGGCCGTCAGCTTGGACTTTTCCTGTCGTCATCCTGGACTTTTTGCTCCTCCGACATGTCTAGTTCTGGCACACCCGCCTTTGACGATCCTGCTGCGTTGGTTGCCCTGCTCCGGCAATGGTCTGCTCCTGATGAGCTTCTGGAGGTCCTCACTGTAAAGGGTTTCAAGACCATCGCGACCATTGCCTATGCTATCCCTCCGGATGGCTCCCCTGACGACTGGATTCGCGTCTTGTGGCCTCCGGCCGACCCCAACGACACCTCGGCCAGGATCACACCATCTGCCAGTTTTGCACGACGCCTTCTGGTGCAGGCGCGCGACCTTGTGCATCCGGCACCTGCCCCGTCGACCCCTGCCTCTGCCGGGAGCGCTCCGCCTCCCCTGCCCGGCCCGAAAATCACGGCCGAAGCGGCGGAGTTGCTGCGTCAAAAGTTCATTGAGGCCTATCCGGGAGAAATCCTCTCCCCGTCCAACACACCCAGTTTGGAATTTCTCAACCGCCTCCGCTCTGAGTTGGACAAGCCAACAACCCTGTGGATTCCGTGGCGCTTGAGGACATCTGAGCATGACGTTCAGACGTTCTATGAACATCGCCGACCCAGGTCGGACAACCAGCTCCTCCGCTCCTTATTGGATGATGTTCCGGACCCGATTGTGGCTCACGCGTCCGTGCCTAATTCAGGTCCCGTTGAGCCTCTGCTTCGCCGCCACTTTGGGATTCTGGTCACGGCCTTGGCTTTCCTGGGTGACCTGCACCTCCGTATTGGCAAGATTTTTGCTGAGTCTTTCATTGCATCCGCTACGGCTGTCCCCCTGGATCCTTCCCTCCGGGCACCATCTCTGCAAGAAGTACTCGCAGCCGACCGGTCCATTTGGGCTGCCGTTGGCACACTGATGCGAGATGAGAAGTGGTCGCTGTCTGATTCCATTCATGAGGTTTCCGTCACCCGGCACATGATTCCGACTTTGTTGTGTGCCCGGCCTCGGTCCATGCCTGCCCCTCCGGTCCGGGAACCCACCCGCACTGGGGGCACGGCCGACACGTCACAGCCAGATAAGCCTGACCGGCCCACGAAGCGTCTCAAAACCGACGGCAAACCGGAAAAACCGACCGGCAAAGCCAAAGCAGATGCCAAAAAGCCGGCCGGCAAGAAACCCGTCAAGGATCTGTGGGAAGAGTCGTGGCATGAGGTGGACGAGAATGGCAAGGAAATTTGCAAACGCTTTGTGCTCGGCCGTTGCAAGTTGGATTCCTGCCGCTTTTCTCATTCCTGCCCGATTCCGCTCCCTTCCGGCAAACCCTGCGGCCAGAAACACACGGCTGCCAAACACCGCGCCACATCGCACTGAAACGCGGATGCGGCCGAACCCCTGTCGGCCATGGCTCCGCCGTTGCAAGGCTCGTCCCCTGATGCCCTGGCCGATGAAGCCGTGCGTATTTTCTCCTCTGATGAGGAGATCTCAAATCACGCCCCGGCTGAGTCCGTGGCTCAGGCGGCCCCTGCTTCGGAGTCGGACCGACTCAGAAGTCGCTCGCCGCACCGCCCGGTTCTCCGATACTCCTTCTCCTTTGCCCGCCCACCTTTTCAAGGGGCCCGCCCTGGCATGCATCCCCCCTCCCCGTGTGCACGCCCTGCCAAGGAGACAGCTCCATCCTTGGATCGGGCCCCCCCTTCCACTTCCCCAGCCGATCCTCCTGTTCGCCCGGCACTGTTTCTGGACTTGTTCTCAGGCTGCTCGGCCCCGCTCTCTAAAGCAGTTTCCAATCTTGGCCTCGACCGCATTGCCCCTATAGACGTGCTTCATGGGGAAGAGGTGGACTTGCTTCTGCCCCAGCATCAGGCGTCCATGCGGAAATTGTGCTCGTCTGGCCTCGTGCGTGTGGCTGTTGCCGCCCCACCCTGCTCCAGCTTTAGCCGTGCACGCCTTAAACCCGGTGGCCCGCCTGCAGTCCGGACACCAGCACACCCGCACGGCATTCCCGCCCCTTCCCAGCGCCAGCAGGCCGAACTGCAACGTTCCGACAAGCTGCACGAGCTCTGTCGGGAGCTCCTCACTCTCGTGCTTCTCTCGGGTGGTCTGGTTTTGCTTGAAAACCATCTAGCAGCTTGTTGTGGCTCACCGACCCGTGCAAAGCCTGGATCCGTCACCACTGCCTGTCCGCCGTGGAAGTTGCCGCTTGCAATTTTGGCATGAATGCCAAAAAGAGCTGGACCTTTGTCTCAAACTTGGCGGACCTCTCCTCTCTGGCCTCGACCTGTTGCCACCCGCCAGGCACTCACCCGCCTTTGGCAGGCAAGCGTGACTCGTCCGGTGCCTTCCTTACACGGACCACTGCCTGCTACCCGGACGGTCTCTGCGAGCGCGTTGCGGCACTGATGGCACCATATCTCTCCCGGTCTGTGGGCCTGGTCTCGTTCCTCTCCTGGGAAACGGCTCTTCTTGAGTCTCATCTCTGCTGGCCACTTCCCTCCTCCCGGATTGAAGATGGTGCAGGTTCGTGCTCCACTGCTTCCTGGTCCAAACCGTCCGGCCCCGACACCTTTGGCCCCCTGCGCAAACTCTGGGTTCAGCGCATCCTGTCCGGGGATTTCCTTGCCAAGTTTCGCGCTCGGCTGGCATCCGGCTCCAAGGATGCCCCGATTTCTGAGTCCGAACTGGTACCTTTCTTGGGTGACTTGCGCTCCTTCCTGGGCTTGGCGGCTACTGACTTTGATACACTCCTTTCGGTCCCTCCGGGCCAACCGTTCCGCCTGTTCCTCCTGGATGCACTGCTTCAGCTCTCGCGCGATCCGGATCGACCCTTTGTGGACTTGCTCCTTGAGGGAGTTCCTCTGGGTGTTGACGAACCTATGCCTGCCTGCCCTACGCTGTTTCCTGCTTCCGCCCCCAAGGACCCATCCATGGACTTACAGCATTGTTCCTCCTCCTGGGGATCAGCTCTTTCCGACCTGTCCACTGTGGACTCCCTTCTTCAAACCGAAGTTTCTGAAGGATGGGTGCGGGAGGTTCCAGGCGGTCTTGACAGCCTCACCGCCACCTATGCTCGTACCGCCGTGGGGAAGCTTGGACTTGTTAAGGCCCCCGACCGTGACCCCCGCCTGGTGGTGGATTCCAGCGTTTCCGGTGTTACAGAACACACCGCTCTTCCCAATAAGTCTGCGAACCCGACCATCTCGGGCCTCCGTCGCTGCTTTCCTCTCCGTCTGGCCCTGGAACAGCTCTTCGCACTTATCCTGGATGTCAGCAAGGCTCACCGGCGCATACTGATCCGGGCCGCCGATCAAGGCCTTCTTTGCTTCTTCCATCGCGGCCGCCTATTCCAGTGTCTGACATTGAATTTCGGTGCACGCGCGTCCGGCTTTTACTGGGCACGTTTGGCGGGGATCTTGTCACGCCTCATGCATCGGCTTCTGTTCATCGCCATGCCTTGCTTATCTATGTCGATGACCTGATCTCCCTCCTTTCCGGTCCGTCCGCGCCGGTGTGGGCCGCTGTGCTGTGTGTTTTCCTTCTTGTGCTTCGTGTCCCCATGAGCTGGCACAAAGCCTATTTGGGCGCACGGCCGACTTGGATTGGTTGGTCTATGTCCTTGGAAACCTTTACCGCCACGCTTGAACCACCGAAGCTGGCCCGTCTCCGCCTTCTGATTTCTTCAGCCCGTTCCGGGGAGGCGATTCCACTACACCTGCTTCGCAAACTCACCGGCAAACTTCTTTGGGTTTGTTCCCTGTTTCGTCCATTCCGGCCGTCCCTTGCACCGCTTTATCGGGACCAAAGCCTACCTCCACTTGTTCACGTTGCTGTGGCCCCCTCCAAGTGGGAATCCTTCCGCGCAGCCCTGTCCAAAGACCTCGTGCTCACGAAATCTGTCGGTCTGGCTAGTTGCCCCCAGGGCTGCACCCTGGTCACTGTGGCCACCCGTCCTGTTCATACATTGAAGGATGTTCCTCTCCACTTTGCCGGTGAGCGACGACTCTGGATTTCTGTCCGCTCCCCTCCTGACTCTGACCGGAAGCTCTCACAGGAATCTAAAGCTGTCTTGGACCTTTGGCACTCCTGCCTGTGTCAGTCCATCCCGCTCTTCCCGCTGTCTCTCGCGCCGCTGTTAACTTGCGAGGCGTTTGCTGACGCCTGTGCCGACAGCAAACACGCGGGCTTGGGCGGCTTCGTGGCCTTTCCCTCCGGCCGCACGGTATGGTTCCGCTCCGCCTTATCTCCTGCGGAGCTTGCTCGACTTTGTGCTTGGTATTCCCCTGACATTTCCCCTCAGAAATTCATTGCTGCCTGGGAACTCCTTGGCCAAATCGCGCTTCTCTGGTGCGTTGCCCTCGTTGTCCCGGCCGCTCACCACCCTGTACATTTCGTCAGCCGCTGTGACAACAGCCCTTCCGAATCGGCCTCCTGGAAAGGCCTCTCTACTGCCCGCGGTATGTGTGACCTATTGCACTCCTACCTGTTATGGCAGCGTCATTTTTGCATTTCCGCACATATCGACCATGTTCCGGGGTTCCGTAACAAAATTGCTGACGCCCTGAGCCGGTCCCGCGACCCGGGCACCTTGGGACTCAATCCTGCCGATGAGGTCCTGGTCCCCTGGCATCTGTTGAGCCGGCCTCCGCGCCCGTGTTACTCTCCTGCGTCCGCCTTCAACCGTGACCGCTTCCCGGCATTGGACTTCTGACTTTGGCTGTTTTCTCCCCGGTGCGGGTACTCCTTTGCCTGGATTTCGTTCTAGATCTTGGCTTCAGAAAACCAGCAAAGTCCATTTTGGCACCCGGTTCCGACGGTTCCTGTCCCGACCGGTGCCCGTACCGATCCGTAGCAGCACCCTTTGGACTTGTGTCCGGCCCGAGGCTCTAACACCGATCCAGACCGCTACGGTTTCAGCCATCCGGAAAAAGGAGTCCGTCTGCATTTTTCCCGTGCATGCACACCGATCGTAACGGACTAGTGCCCTCCGAATAACGGTTTCTCGACGGGTCGTATTGTGTTAATCGGAGGGCTCGCAACGGCAAGTCGTAACTGTACCGCAGCCGTTCGACTTAGGCGCATCCGTTCCGCAATCCGACGGTGTGCTAGCCTTTTCTTTCCCGCCACCTCCCCTTTGTTCTCCGCCTTGGATTTAGGCCCTTTAATCCGCAGCTTTCAGCCTGGATTTCCGATGTGGGTTGGACTTTGCCCTTTCCTGCACGCCGTAGGCCGGCTTCAGAAAACCAGCAAAGTCCATTTTGGCACCCGGTTCCGACGGTTCCTGTCCCGACCGGTGCCCGTACCGATCCGTAGCAGCACCCTTTGGACTTGTGTCCGGCCCGAGGCTCTGACACCGATCCAGACCGCTACGGTTTCAGCCATCCGGAAAAAGGAGTCCGTCTGCATTTTTCCCGTGCATGCACACCGATCGTAACGGACTAGTGCCCTCCGAATAACAGCTAGATATAGATATAGATGTAGGTCTAGACAGATAAGTAGATAGATATAGATGTAAATAGACATGTATGCATACGATGTAATCTCGGTATGCAGAAGTAGCAGGTGCAACGATGGGCAGGAAACAACAATACAGAATGCATATAGTACTTCGTAACGATTATACTCATGGGCGTGCATGTTATAACAGTCACATACAGTCAGCATCGTCATCGCCACTGAAGATGTTCTGCCTGTCTGTCTGAGGGTTGATCTACCTGTTCGGTTGTATCGAAGGAGCTGATTCAAAGCATCGAGGATTGATAACATTGCTTCTGTACATGGCATACCGGATGGTTGCAGGACTTCATATACGACAGTTTGTCGGTAGGTCTAGGATGCCCAGGGCGTCTACGGGGATTGTCGGTGATCTGTTGTGCACATTGCAGCAATTTGCACGAAAACCAGATCCACAAGTCTGCAGCGTACACAAGACAAAACTGAGAGTTTAGCACACAAGCTGCCTCAAACACAGTAGAGACTACATTTGCTGTAAGTTTTGATCGGTGGTTGTGTCCGCTTTCTGCATCATCTCGACGAGAATTTCATGCGCTCACAGCAGGCTCCCAAGAAGCTTTCTGGACCGGGCCGGAGCTTCACTGTCACTATCGAGGCAAGGGGTCAGTTGTGCTCCGTGCTCCTACACCAAAAAGCAATATTACATATTGACTTAATCTTACGCATGTGTGGAACTACAGCTTGTTCCTTCGCTCTTAACTAGTAGCCCATATATGCCTGCTACTACTATTACTGCAGTCTTCTGCTAATTGTTCACACTACACCGGACGTGCTAGTCGGATGCTCGTTTTCATGTTTGGATGCTCTGAGCAAGCATTGAAGTGACACTTTCCGGCGTCTGCAGTGCCTTTTGATCTATGTTTTATTGCGCCATCAGTATCATGTTTTTTCGCTCTGCAAGCTGTCAGTGGCTGTATGTATGCACGATAACAGGCTTTGTTGAACTGGTTTCGACTTTTTCTGTTGCTCGCTGTTTTATGATGGAATGATCGGAAGTGATATTTGGCCGAGTCCGGGTTGTCCCGGGTCGGTAACAGCTTCTGCCGGGAGGCCACACGCGAAACTGGCCTCGTTCTGGACGACCTTGATTCTCGAGGCGTGGCATGAAAGTTTGAGGGTTAGCACTCTTCAACAGCCAACCACAACTTGAGTGCATACAACAACAAGTTAGTACTTCGCAGCCGGGTTGCCGTCCAACCTCGGATATCATGCCCTCATTTGGACTGAGCTCCTGTCCATCGTCAGCGGAAGGACTGACAAGCTGATTATGGATGATGACTGTAGTGTAGGTCCCAGAGACATGTCCTCACCCTAGGTTGTGGAAGAAATCCCCGTCGCAGCAAGGGAGGTAATTCAATCTTCTTGTGGTCAAGTTGTGGTAATGCCCTACCTGTCAGATGCAATGGCCAGCCGATGGCTCGCCAGCCGCCGCGTAGTCGTCGTGCCGGGTGCGATGAAATCGGGAACCTGCTCGTTGCGAGGGCAGCTGCAGTGGATGGCAAATTGGGACGACCTCTCACTGCCCTCGCAGGAGCTTCATTTCTTCGATGAGGACGAGGAATGGGCCCGTGGTCCTGCATACTACGCCTCCTGGTTTGAAGACTGTTCGATAATCGGCGACGTGACACCGAGCTATTTGTACATTCCAGCGGCCATCGAGCGCCTCGCAGACCAGCTCCCCCAAGCACAGCTTGTGGTGTTGCTTCGGAACCCCATCGCTCGTGCAGTAAGCCACCAGAATCATGACCACGACAAGCACCGCCCCGTCGGCAGCTTGTCGGAGCGTTATCAGCAGGAGATGGCAAATTATGGCTCCCCTCCCAGCCGCTGGGATGCCTTCCGCCGGGGCCTCTATGCAGAGCAGATGGAACGACTCTTGCAATTCTTCCCTCCAGACCAGGTGCTGGTGATCATCGCAGAACGCTTTCGCAAGCAGCCGGAGAGAGAGCTTCGACGCGTCCGAGCCTTCTTGGGTCTGGAGAGCGTCCGGGTGCCTGCAGAGGCTTTGATGGAAGAGCATGTTCGCCATGAGTACTCGGAGGTGCTGTCTGCCCCGCTGAGGGAGGAGCCTTGGCATGGAGGCAATAATAATGCAATGGGATGTTGTGGATATTTAGGATATTTATGCACTCGCTGATCTTGCCTTATCTGTACACTGCCAATGAATTAACGCAACATGGTTCTCGTAGTTTTGTTCTGGTGTGCTCGAACTACAGGTGGAGGTTACAGGATCTTTCTTTTACTGCAGTGCAGGAGCTGCGCCGCTTCTATGCTGCCGACGTCCAACATCTTCGGGGTTTGCTGGGAGATCCTCTGAAAGACTGGGATGCAGACTTCTCCACATTCCGGCCCCCTGTCCTTCTGCGGCCCCGCTGCGTTGTGTCCTGGCGGCCGGGAGGTTCAGAGGCAGAGTCGGAAGTCTCGCGCGAGCTGAGAGGCAAGGGAGGTCGCTACAGGTCGCCAAGCCTGACTTCTTCCGATGAGTACCGCACGCATTGGGAGTATCGTCGATAATTCCCGCGAGCTTCCCTGTACCAGTTGATCGGGCGCCCCAAAAAGGCGCTTGGCACATCCTCAGAATTTTTGTCTAAGCCGCTGACGCGCAGATGGCGGATCGTGACACCATACGTGATTCGCGCTCTGGCAGCTGCCACGTGAAGCATCCGCCACTTCTATGATTGTGGATCTCGTGGATGGCGGATTCCTCCTTCTGCCTCGCTTGAACAGGAGCCTGCAGTCGATCATCATGGGCCCATGGGCCGGACACTTCGAAGACAAGCTTTTGAGGGAAGCGAACCGGGCCCAAAGATGTGCCCAGAAGCTGTGTGCGATTTGCAGGAGGCTCTCCTGCAGGCAGGATGTCGTCAATGCATTTTGGCAGCTTCTTCGAGATGTCCCTGTTGCCAGAGCCAGGCTTTGATCTGAACAAGCGATATTTCCACACGGGGATGTGGCCGGTCTGACTCGTGGTCTGTCATCGGACCGCAAAGGCAGCTGGCTCGTTGCCGAGCAAGAAAGCAAAGAAGGGGAGTGCGACCGGTTAGGCAGCAAACCAAATGGGCTCAACGGACAAGGCTTAGATCACCCATCGTCCCTATTCCACGGGGTATCAGGGTTAAGTTTCAAGCGGAACCAGCGAAAATTTCGGAGATCCTCCATCCCTTCATGCAGTGGCGGAGGCTGTGATGGTGATGAACCCTGAAAAACCCCGGACCCCGAGCTGTACCACTTTAGGACGGAGTGCACAAAGACTTAACATTTCCAGACTCTGTTGAAATTTGGTTTCAGGATGTTCAAGGCTTGAGAGGTGAGATGGATGTTGTGGCTAGTTGCCGAAGGTTCAAGGCTTGCGGTGTTTCCTTATCTTCTGTGTTGTCTTCTTGAGAGGATCTGCTTCCAACAGCACACCCACTGCTCAACAATCCTTGCTGGGAGATGACGGTGAAGGTGTTGACTTTGATGCTGTTGTTGAAATTGAATTTGTTTTTTGTATGATGATTGGCCAGCGCTGCGTCTTGCAGGGTTTGACCCCTTCCAGGTCCTGTCATTGCGAGCATTCCGGAGGGGGCCGTGCAGGACTTCAACGCGAAGAATCCAGCATCTGCTGTCCGCCCAAACGACGCTTTTGCGCCCAGAGCAGTAAAGTTCAACGCATGATGGGTAAGAGCTTTCGGGTTTAGGGTTCAACGGTCGAGAATCTAGGAGGCAGTTGCCGCAAGAGCTGTGGTTTTGCAGCCGAGGATCTTATTCTGGCAGTCAATTCAGTGGAGGGGGAAGCTCTTTGGCTCTTGGAAGCCTCGGGAGACCCCAATTGGGGTTTAGAAGCATCAAGAGGGTGTGCCAGCAGAATCTGTTGGAAGCAGCCAAGGTGAAATCGATTATCCAGCAGCTCCAGTCTTTGGACAAGACGGCTTTGGCTCTGAAGATTCTGCGGCCGCAGGACTCTGGTATCCCGGCGATGTCTTTTTGGAAACCCCTAGCTTGACGTCGTTGAGCGAGGAGATGAAAATCTCCATGGGCAAAAAGCCCAACGCATCCCTTGGCTTGCAGATGAACTTCTCCTCCTTCTCTGCTGGGTGCCTTTGCTGACGAGTAGAGTGAGTAGAGGTCACGCAGTCGACATGTGAACCGCCCGGAGCATGAAGCGGCTGTAGCAGACTGAACAGGGCCGTGGTTGACATGATCGCCGAATCAGGACCGCGCCTGGCAGATCCTGGCAGACATAGCTTAGCCACTTTTTGTGTAGATGTTGGCATGAGTTGAGAAGCTGCACAGGAGTGGCACATGCCTGGAACGAATCGCAGCCGGAGGCCGGGAGAAGGATTGCACTCCAGCGTTTTTCTTTGGGCTGCAAATCGCGTTCTCCAGGAGAAGAGGCTGCGCCGAGGAGACCGCCTGGTTGCCATCGATGGGCAATACCTCAAAGGCAGAGCGCGCGGCTTGCGAAAAAAATGTGGGGGGGGGTGGGGCTTCTGCCTCTGCAGGCGAGGAGATGATCGAGGCCTTGAAGCAGAAGAAGGGACAGGACTCCCGGGCTTCCGGGTTCCAGCTACTATTACTATGCCTCGTGGAGTCGTACAGGGTCGTCGAGTCGTGACTCTTTTCGGTTCAGCCGTTCAGAGGTGCCAGTGCTAGAGCTGCAGAAATGTTGGTGGATCCGCTTGAAAGAGCCGTTTGGTCGGCTCGGGAGCCAAGTTTTAGGCTCGGGCGGGGCTTGGGGCGCCATGGCGCACAAGTCCAACCCCTACAAGAAGGCCGGCAAGTGGAAGTGCACGTCTGGTGACATCATCTTGCTGTCCCTCTTTCATTCCCAGCAGTGCCAGCTGGCGCTAGGCACGCTCGAAGTTCCGCTGGAAGTGGAAGAAGAAGCGCACGCGCCGCTTGCAGAAGAAGCGCCGAAAGATGCGCCAGCGCTCGAAGTGAGGAGGCCCGCATCTCTGACAAAGAATATTCTAACATGCCAAGGGGGGACATTCATATTGTATTAGAATTACTATGAACAAGGTCGTGCACAGCATCTCGAACTGGAGGTGCTTGCAGCCTGCGCAGATGGAACGACAGAGCAGTGAGATCGCTCCTTGGAAATATGGTCTTTTCATTGTGTTACAAGCCCTGTCGCCTGAGCTTGATCCGTTTCTTCCTTGAGGCTGGACCACCTTGACATGCATCAGTTCGCGACGTGATGCCAGCTGGCAATGAGAAATGCAGGGACTGCGGGGGAAAAGCCTTCAAAGTGCATTGCAGCTGACAGCATCCTTTGTCATTGTGCCCTTTCTGTCATCGCACCGTGGACTGTTGCTCAGACATGACCCCGAGCCTGCAGAGCCATTTGGTTTCGAGAGACGGAAGGCACCGTCGGCCTGAAGATGTCCTTGCCCCAACACCGTCTTCAATTGTCGGGTGACTTCAAATGCTCGAAATTTGCTTGGCAACTCCAGGGTAAGCATGACCTAGGACCCTGGTCAGCTTGATAGTCCCACAGTGAAAACCCAGCCTACCAAGGCTACATGCCACTTGTTTGCAGTCTCCCCTTAAGCTCTTTGTCCAGTCGCAAGCGCATGTCTGCCACTGCAGCCGACGCTGGGCAGCACGCATCCACTCCGCGGCGAAGGCCATGACGCGCACGCTTCCGGGTGCTGGAGAGGGCCCCCCCGCCAGCGCAGGGACATGACCGCCGAGCCCCGGCGCCTGCCATGCCCGGAGGAGCCGAAGGGGTTTCATGCAGGGATGGGTCTTCATTATCGTTGATTTCAGACGGCTTGCGGACAACAAGCAAGCACTCAGCACTGTCTTGCAGCGCATCATCGACATGGTCGGCTTCGCCTTCGGTTGCGGAACGCTGGGTGGCTTTGGCCGCGTGCTCAGCATGACAAACCCTGCTTGTCTTTTCGTTGCCGAGAGCCGGAAAGACCTGTAATTTTCTCTCGGCAGCGGCATGCCGGCATACCAGCTGCTCACGGCTCACGTAGGCCACGACAGACAAGAAACCCCGGACACTCTCCATGGTTTGGTAATGCCAAGGCATGACCTTCACCCGCAGCCTCAGAGATCACCCCAAGGCTGGGAATTGGGCACAGCATTCAGAGGACACAACATGACACGACTTTTCTCTGAGAGGGCCACCGCTTCTCCGGCGCCTTGGCGGCCGCGGGGTTCCCAAGAACTGAGGGAGAAAGCCGGGCCCTGCAGGTAGCACCCAGTCATGTAGAGGGCCGAAGGCGCCAAAGCCCAAGACTTGGTTTGGCCCAGGCCCAGGCCAGGGCGCCCCAATTGGGCAGCACCTTTGCGCTGTGGCCAAGATCTCAAGCCATTCAAGCCTCTGCATGATCTCGGAGATGGCATGCTACAGCTGACTAGACGAACGGGGATCTTGGTCTGCAAGTATAAGCGAAACAGCAACTACAACAATCAGCAAGCACGCAAACGCACATGAAAGCAGAATGACCAAGATGAGCGCAGACATCGCTTTGAACTCACATGCACACAGACATCCTCCTGCTTGCGTCCTAATTACTTGGAAGTGCCTAGATGCCGGTTTACTTGCTTTCTTGCCGCTTGCCTGTCTACCTACCTCTACTGCTGCCAGTTTGGCTACCAGCTACAAACGAAGGAAGCTAGATACAAAAAAGGCATTACGGACACAACCTTCGTGTTTCGAAAGGGGCCAGACTTGATTGGATAATCTGGACAGCCAGCGGGGTGTATGGTACGTGGACAAACAGAAAGACAACCGTAAAGATAGATGGATGGAGGCTGATCGAGTTGCAGAGGAGCAGCCATTCTGGTGGGGATAGGGCATCTGCTAAAAGCCTTGCCAGCGCCAAAGTAGCGAGGCGGTATCTGATATCACAATGGACATGCTGCTGGATTCGGGATTCAGGTCGGGTCTCTTTCACGCCTTCGAGTGTGCGGCTGCGGCCCTGGTGAATCAGCAGGAACATCCGACACAAAAGCCAAAGGGCACAAAGCAGAGCCAGCAGAGCCAGTCCGGTCGCTTGCTCGTCATGTACTTCTCCTCTGCAAGGTTTCGCAGCGCCATCTGGATCCACAAGGACTGTGACGTTCATTGAGTGACAGGCGAGATGACATCTAGGCCTTCCGAAGTGAATCAATGTCAGGAGCTCGATCATCGATTGATGCAGCGTTGTGCGGCTTCCTGACGGCGGGCGTGCTGTGGCTAAGTTCACCTTCGAGCAAGACTCGGAGTCCCTGCCACTCTGCACCCTCCGCCGCTTGAACCGGCGCCCGAGACCCAGGTGCTGTCCATCCGTCAGGGTCCGCGCGTGGCCTCCATGAATGCAGCGGCCAGCGCCTGAAGATTCCGCAAGTGGCAGTTCTGGTGGGAATGCCTTCGGCCTCCGGAGGTTGGCGCTTTCTGCGTGGCCCTCGTTGATGTGGTGTCAGGCGTGGGATGGCGCACCGGACATGCAAGGGCTTGAGGTAAGACCGCGGCACTCCGTTCGGCAAAACCTTCACCATGTCTTACATAAACCATCTGATGAGACAGCACCTGCGAACCTTCCAGGGACTGCGCGGCTTTGACGTGAGCCGCACTTCAGACCAAGTGTGTGCAGAGAAAGGCGCTGATTGATGGCACTTCAAGCTTGTGGGAGCACTGTGTGTGGCATGTGCGTCAAGCCAATGCATTGATGCAAGCTTTTCTTCCCTTTCACGCTCTCACCGCTGCCCATGGATTCGGGCTCAAGATTCAAGTCCACGTCATGTCTGCGGCCTGCCGAGCTTCGCCAGGACATCGACTTGACAATTCAAGGAAGGGGCTAGGTTTCTCCCTTGGCTCCTGTGTTCATGTGTAGGCCCAAGCGGCCCAAGCTTGAATCAATGCCGCTCTTCGCGCGGCGCGTTGGCTTCCGAGCTTCCGGCTCTGGCGGTTCCGGCGAGAGCTGCCTGGTGCTGGCCAAGCACGGCTCAGCGCTGCAGAGTTCCGGAGGTGGAAGGTGGAGTGTGTTTGCTCCAAGCGAAAGCGACGAAAGAAGCGCAGTTTCAGAGCCTCCGCCGGGTGACTGCGCAGACCTGAGATGTCCTCCTTCGGCCATTGAGCCTACATGCATAGATGATCTGGAAGCAGACACTTGGTGAATTGTGTGTGTGTGTGTGTGTGTGCGCGTGTGTGCGCTAACGGTTGTGGAATGCCTGAGCGTGCTGGAGCTGGGTACGTTCGGCTGCACTACAGTTGCAGGCGATCTGTGGAGGCGGCATGGTTAGCGACAACATGCGACAACTGTGTCTGTGCCTGTGGACCTCGGAACTTGGCATCGATCATCTTCTACATCTGAGAAAGGTTCTCGGTGCTCCCCCTTGTCCTGGATGTGGAGGTCGCCGCTCGCTGGAGGTCGTGGCTATGGCTCGCTATGGCTCGCTGGTGCTTTGGGACGGTCTGGCCGAGCTCTGTTGGTCGCGCCACGGGGTCGGCAGCCGCGGATTTTCCTCATGCAGGTGAGTCTGGGTATCAGAAAAGTCGTGATATTCGTGTTCAGGCCCGACGAGAAGCGGCCTTTACAGCGTTTTGAGGCATAGGGCTGGGATGATCTCCACGAGAATTATGCATATAAAGGGCTGAGCCGTGGGACGTTTGTAATAAAGCCAAATGGAAGGGAAGCGGTCAGTTGCTGCGAACCATCCCAGTTGCTGTATCAGATTCGAAGAATATTTGAGGGTCGAGGAGGAATCCTTAATGAGTAGGACGTAGTGACTTTGTCAAAGAATCTACGTGCGGTTGAAGACCAAGTGCAGTGCGGATCAGCTGGAAAGCTGACGTCTGTGAGGTTCTTCACTAGCGAGCACCAAGGCTTAAGGAGTGTGTGTGTCAAGCAGGGACATCTTTCATGCTCCGGTGGGAAATGAGGGCGTTTCCAGAAAAACTGCCTTTGCGGTACGTTAGGGAACATTGGTTTGCGAGGTCAGGCTATGCTGCGCAAATCTCCTGGCTCCAGGAAGAGCCAACGAGTGTCATGAAAGCAGGATCTTAAGAGTTGAGACCAGCGCATCGAGCGATTTGTGTAGTGCAATCCTGCCACTGGCCATGTTGGCCGTGCTCTCACCAGCCGAGTGCTCGGAAAGCTCTTGTATTGATCACCAGGGTTGGGGAGGTACGGGACGGTCCGGGACGGTCCGACTTATGGGCTTCAGGAGATGGGGCTTAGGAGCTTTGTGTTCATGCTTCCCCAAGTCAGAGCGCAACCACAGATGCACAGCCCTGCCAGGTGGTTCAAGACAAGCGCATGACAAATCTGTGTTGCCGAAGTGTGCGAAAGGAAGTCTAGCCATGTCAGGCAAAGACCCTGGACATGAGCCCGTCGGCGAGCAACACGAAGTCTACCCCCAGTGCGCTGCTCTCCAAGCGAACCGAGGATGCTTGCTTCAGGGTTTTCAGAGTCCTCGAGTCCTCGCATAACATACACCACAGCCTGGCCTGCGCCCCCACCGCATTCTCGTTCACGAAAGCTGCAGGTTTCTGGGTTTGGCAAACGCCGACAGGGCATTGAGTTCACAATGCAAGAGTAACGGTGTAGGTTTGCCTTGTGTTTGTCTTAACCTTTCCGTGGGTTCAGGAGATCCTGGCCTCTCTGAAGAAGATGCCTGCCAAGGAGTTGAAGAAGCCATGCAGCCCAGTGCAGGGCAATTTTCTGACGAAATCTGGTCCGGATTCGGCCCTAAGACGTGAGACTCGGAGCTTCTATTCTGAGGATGATGAAGCTCAGTGATGAGCTAGCCAAGCAGACTGCAGAGAGGCAGTGGCCATCCATTGCAGGGCAAGATTCCACCTGTCTGCTCGATTTACTCGCACACCTTGACCGCTTCTGCCAACTGCACGTGGCTCATGATGCAGCCAATGTGGCACCACGCTCCAACGCATCGCGAGGACTGCACATTTCGGACAGTACCAGCTACCCGGGCACGGATACTCCAGCACACACAGCATACCTGCCTGCAACGATAGTGGCCAACGCAAAACATACACCTTTGGTATGCCCATATGCCTGGACACCACCGGGACGACGTGCTGACCTCATCCAAGAGCTTAAGAGTTTGTATGTTGCTTCTCCGTGTTGCTTGGAGATGCCAGAAGTTTGAGCCGGGGTTGATCGGCTCTGCCCTGGATTTGGCTGTGGCATCAGGTTCGTGTACAGCCTGTACTTAGAGAGCATCCTCCTGGCCACCTCCAGCATTGCGCTCCAGGGCAGGGAGGCGGGAGGCGCTTGGTCAGGTTCTTGCTGCGAGTCAGATGCTCTCGCGACCTCAGGCAGTTTGCCGCTGGACGTTAAAGGGAGTGGATGACAAGTCCACTCCCTTCCTTCTCCGCAAAGAGCTTGGAAAGGTTAGCAAAATCGATGCACAGCATCAGGAAGGTCAATCGGTTCAGCTTGCCTGTTGTCGCCCAGTTTGCGAGCCTCACGGATGGCAAGGGTTCTGCTCCTTCGTTGTTGTGCCTGGCACTCAGCTAGCAGCTGGCCTATCCAACTTGTAGAGCAGCGTCGAGTTATCATTTTCAACCCCCTGCCTGTTGTACTCAATGCGTTCCCCAGTTTTGGGACTGCATGTGATATTCTCCACCTCCGTCCTTCTCCCATTTTCCGCTGAATGCCTTTGGTTTTGTTTTGATCCCGGAATCTTGCCTTTTTCCACTGTTGTCTGCAGGAAATCGATCGCCATCTTTCCAGAGGTTCTTATTCGTCGGCACCAGACTTCATGAGAAAGGGGTTTACCACCATCATGGTGTAGAGACTCGCACTACTCTTGCTGACTCTGCGGCATTGCACTGTCCCATGTCCAAAGCCAAGCCCAGCCAAGCCAGGCCATGTGAACGCTCGCACCCCATCAGACTTTGAATGCAACGGATCTTGCCGCTTCGCGTTTCCCTCCTGCAGGGAGCCACCGCCAAAATCACACAATCCTGTTTGTGGCGGAACCTCCAAGGGAATGCGGTCACGCATTCTCGTGACAGGGAGCCCAAAGTTGGTACGTTCAGCCCTTTCCTGGCGGAGAGCATGTGGGTACTGGTAAGGGCAAACGTAATGATAGAATAAGCAGAAATACGGGCAATACTGTACACCCGAAACTCCAAAGGACAATACCGACAGCAGCGGGCAAGCAGCCCCCTCCGCCCAAACTTCTGCACCCCCGCTGAAGCCAAGCCCCTTTCTTGCCTAGGGCCATGGTGATCTTAATACCTTATTGCTCCCAGTCGTATGGCCCTTGCTTCGCATACAACGTCTTCTGCCCACCGTTAGTTTCAACTGCCAGCACCTCTAGCCGCTCTGGCTGCCGTTACCTTTCGCAGTATTCTGACACTGCCCACTTCGCCTCGGCCCCGGCCGAAGCGGTCAGAGGTTCCTATACGGATTTCCCACCTCTTAATCCCCTGCCCAGTGACCCCCCCACCCCCAAAACCTGGTCCCTCGTCTGTGTGAGCCTCTGGATGAGCCCCATGGTCTGAAATTTCGTTCCTGTAGGGCAGTTTCACTAACCTTTTGCTTCATCCCCTCCACCCACCCCCCAACCCCAACCCCAGCTCATTAGGCCTGTCCGCCGCCCCCCCCTCCCCTGAGCAGGAAACGGGCTCTCTAACTGGTCCCTAGTGGCAACTTTTCGGTTGGTGAAACCCTGCTCCTCTCGCACTGCTTGCTGACCCTTCGATGCCATGGCATGCGAGCTTCACGCTTGCATCAGGGGCTGCGCTTTCTCCCTATACGCTGCGGGTTTAGGGTTTCGGCATCGAGGTTTAAGCTTTAGGGTTTGGGGTTTGGAGTTTCGGGTTAAGTAAGGCCTATGGGCCTTGGTAGGCTTTCGGGTTGCTGCTTGGCGAAACAATGCACCTGCGACACGAGGCGGACGACGCGAAGCGTTTAAAGTTACCTCTCACAGCTGGTCTTCCCAACGGAGCTACATCCAAAGCAGGAAATCCAGAATCAGGTTTCGCAGGTTTCCATTGGGTTTTGGGACGATTGGACAATAAATCTATTTGTGGCGGGTGCTCGAGCTGTTCATGGAGTTCTCAGATTCGGAAAACCTTGGGCTTGCGACTGCATGGCAAAAGCAGCACGATTTCGGCAAGTAGGTGTATGGCATGTCTTTTCGCCATTGTAAGCGAGGAGGTATGTCTGCCTGTGTCAAGACCTGATCGTATCCTGAGTTGAGTGCCATCACTGGGGTTACTCCCTGTTGCACTCCCCCACGAGCGGGAATCTGCGGAGCCTTGCAAACAGCGATATGGCTTCCTGCGTAGGGTCCGATACTGTAGGCTCTTCATTCGGCAGATGCAGAAACGTGCAACTGGAGAGTTGCGGCGCCTGCGTCTCCAAGGGAAGAGAAAGGGATTCGCATTTTCGAGCATTCCAGGGTTGGACACGTAGGACCGTGAGTGTGCAGATGGAAAGTATGTTGTTCTCGCCACGTTTGCTGAAGCTCAGTGGCAACACTCGAACATAGCAGCTAACTGTGCAACCGGAGAGGTCGTTTGACGATCGTTCTGGCCACTGTTAGTGTTTGATGCTGCATCGCGAAGGTCTTTCCCGACTCCTTCCCAGCGCTCGCTCTGCCTCCGGTGCAGGGCTCAGCCACAGTCTCCATGACAGGTTGCAAGTGCCTGTACCATCATTTTAATGCTGGATAGGATTCGCAACCACAGCACGACACCGTGCTTCTGCAAGCTGATGAGGCTCGCAGTGAGCCGGGTGTCAGCGGGGCTTTCCTCGCTGCCTCTTGCTGCAGCTCGGCTAAACTATGTGGTTTCTGGATTGCACTCTAGGACATGATGGACATGACCGTGCCATCCTCTTCCGCACCGAGGCGGACTTTGCGGTGGCCTTCGTCGACATCGCAGACCTCAGTGGCGAGGAGCGGTTCAAGGCTCCTGGACCTGTATCGCTTTTACACACGCTCTGCGCAGGGGTCGCCTTTCGAAGGCTTTTAAGGGCTGGAGGTCTCGTGGTTAGGAGTTGACCAGATCGTGTTCCTTTGTTCATGAAGCATCATCCAGCTTTCACGACGTTTCCGCATCGTTGTCGTCTGTGGGGCGGATCAAGTTTCTTGGGGCTTCGATCCTCGTGACCTGGTAACCCTCAACTCTTCGTCGTATGTTGTCATGACTTCGTGCCGTTTCCTTGTGTCGTTGGGTCGCATCCTGATGTTGTGTCCTGTGGCATGTGTCGTTTGCGGTCATAGTCCTGTCTTGTCTCGTGTAGTGTCGTCTCGTGGCTTCGTGCCGCGTTGGGTTGAGATGTTGGAGGGATGGAAGCGATTTCGTCCGGATGGATCGGATAGATTCGATGACTGCGGCTCAGGTGGATTTTCTGGAGCTTCGCAACTCAGAGCTCCAGGCCGATCAGCAGAGAATATGAGTCCGCCCGTAGCTGCAAACCTGCGGGTCTTTCGCAAACTAGCGGAAGGGAAGGCCACAGGGCAAGTCCAGTACTCTCAGTACTCTGTCAAAGATTGCTCGGTGGCTGCGCTGTTGAACTGCTTGGCACAGGTGGTGGCCGTGGCCAAGCTCCACTCCGCAGCTCAGCGCCGGTGGACTCCCGAGCCCGTGCCACCGCCATCGCAGGCTTGCGGGATCTTTTGGGTCCGCGGTCTGAGAATCGTCCGAGGCTTTTGAGATATAGTAGCTGCAGACTTAAGCGGATAGGAGCACCTAGAGCAGCGTCAGATGCTATTCACTTGCTTTTCTATAGTCCGGCTACTCCGTGCCAGGCAAAGTTCCTGGACTACACAGTGGATGCGCAGGCATCCTGCTTGCTGATTTCTCTGTTCAATCACGGAACGAGACCTCAATCCTAGCAGTCCACGACGAATAAACCGACAGGCAAGCATGCAAGCAAACAAACATCTCGAAGTTGTTGCTTTGTGCAGTCGCCTGTGCTACAGTGATCATCACCGGGCAACTGCGTGACTACGTTAAATGTCACAATGGTGATTAACACCCGTCGAGACAAGAACTATGTAAATGGACAGTTGATGTGAAAGTCGAACCCCCGCCTCCTTGGCGCACGTTGTGGAAGCATGCCGCATAACTATGTTTGATACGAAAGGAGCAACACCTCTTGTGGGGCGGCTATGCCCTAGGATGTACGACAACTCCTCACTCCGGCAGCAACTGCACTTGCAAACGGTTCGCAAGCCTTCTGCGAAAGTGTAGGCCTCGAGGGTCACATCATGGTAACAATGGTAACACGTTTCATGTAGCACAAAAGGTGGTGTCTTCTTGCTGGGGCAAAATTGTGAAGGTCGGAAGGTCGATGCGGGGCTGCATGCGGGCACTAACGCAGAATTGACAGGTAATTCAGTCACGGATGTGTCGGCATTGTGCGTAGGGCTGTTGGCCCACTGCAGTCCGTGTGCCCGTGCAGTCAAAACACATGTCCGACACGACACGTAGTCGTCAACCACAGCCATGTGTGTCATGTGTCTGAGTAGCTCGACGCATCTAGGACAGAGGTGTCCATACGCGTGGAGCGCACGACACGCTTTTCTCTTAGCAAACTCATGTTCTGCACACCGAGCAATGAAGAAGCTCAGCTTGATGAGCTTGATTGCATGAGGAAACATCCACGTGTGCAGTGCAATCAGCAAGCTGCCGGCATCCGTCCAGGAACTGCGATAGCTCAACGGACGAACTCACTTGGCTTCAACTTGGTGAATCCACCTGGTGGTCGTTGACAAGTAGGGTGTCAAAAGGCTTTCCCAAGACTAAGATCTATATGTGTCATAGCAGGCCGCGCAGACTTGACTT